CCCAGCCAGCCCGAGCGTTGCGGCACGGGCGCCAAGCGAGTCCCTCGTCAGCCAGTTGGGCGCCTTGATCGATGCCGATCGCGCAAAAAGTTCAGCCCTGGTAGACAGCCCGACTGTGGCGCGATCCCTTTTCGATGTGCCTTTTGAAGTTCCGCCGCCGCCGCCCCCGCCACCGCCCCCCCCCTCGCCCAAGACGGCGGCGGGCGCGGCCCCGTTTTTAGAGCGGCCGCCAGGCGATTGGCTAGTTGAGTCGCCGCGGCGCGTACGTCTGTCTCCAGCTGCTCCTGTTTCCCCTGGGCCTCCGCCGGGTTCGCCCCCTCCCCTGCCGCCTGGGTGGGAGCCTCGCTGGGCAGCAAATGGCGCGCTTTACTTTCAAAACCGGACAACCGGCCAGACGCGTTGGGACCATCCGGGCGATACGGGGCCGCAGCGCTGCGTGGTGGAGCCACCGATCGCGCCCCCTTTGCACCCCGCCGCCGTGGAAGGCGCGGTGGCCCGTGTCAAGTTACAATTGGACGCAGTCCAAGCGTCGCGTCCGCCCTGGGAGGAGTTCACCTCGCCGGCCACGGGCGCCGTCCTCTGGTTGAACAAAGTGTCGGGTACCGTAGCGCACGAGAAGCCACCGGAAGTCGCCACTTGGGCGGCCCAGGTGGCCGAGCTTAGTCGTGAGCTCGACCGCGCCCGTGACGTTGCCACCGCTACGCCCTCGGCACTTGCAGGGGGGGGCGCGGCAGCACCCAAGGTGGGCGCCGACGCGGGCGGGCTTCTGCGCTTTTGCACCCCGCGGCCGCAACTGCCGCCAGACCCTGTCGGCCCGCTGGCGACGGTTCCAGTGCCGCTCCCGAACGCCCAGGCAGTCACGGCGAAAGCCGCTGTGATGGCCCTTAGGCGCTTCAGTACTAAAGCCGAGCTCAATGCCGCAGTGGGCGCCTGGCACGACCGCATGCGCCAACTTGTAGGCGACTCCACAGACGGTCGCGTGTCGATGCAACCAACTTTCGCGTCGAATTGTATGGCCACCGCGGATCTCTACAAGTGTGTACAGGCAATGGGAGTGCAGATCGTTGCTGCCCCTGGTAAGGGCCAGCAAGTTCTTGCCCCCCCTCCGTACGCGTTCCCCAATGGAGACACCGCGCAGCCAGGGCTTGAGATTACGTGGAGGCTTTCACCTGCTGTAAAATTGTCTGCGCAGATCGTAGGGAAAAGGTCCGGCAAGGTCGTGGCGAAGGGCCGGCGTGCCGCCTTCGAGTCACACTTGGAGGAGTTGTTTCTGTTCCTTGGCGAGCCTATCGACGTCGAGTCGGCGGCTTCCCCGGTTCCGCCAGTGGCGGGCGGCGCCAACTTCATTGCATTCAAGCCGCGCGAGCTGCTCGATTAGGCTGAGAATGCGGCGCGGCGTCGGCAGGAGATGCGTGAGTGGCGCCCTCTCGCTCTCCTGCAGGGGCCGCTGCGGCTTTTTAGTTTCCATTTCCCAGTGCCCCTCCTCTTCTTTTTCGCCCTTCTCCCCGTCGACCTAGGGCCGCACGGCTTATAAACCTTATGATTTTCTTGATGCGACGCTTCTGGGGTCGGCGGCCCGGGGGCGTGAAGCGGGTGAAAAATAGTCCGCGGCAGGCCGCGTCCTTTTGTTGTGCCACGACTTGCTCTCATTGGTGTTTCTTATTCATGTGTTGCTACCCCCTCCCCCGCCTCCCTTCTTTTCTCTCTCTCTCTCTCTCTCTCTCTTTCTCTCCCCCTTTTCCCCTTCCCTCTTCCCCCTCTCTCCCTTCCCTCCCCCCCCCTCTCCCCCTCTGCCGTCGCCCCGCCCCCTTCACCGGCACCATGCCCCCCCCGTCGTTTCTTGCACCACGCTTGTATTGCCAGGGCACGTGCATGAGTGCTTCCACTTGTTTTTGTCGTCGCGCGTGCTGGCTGTCGCTGCGCGCGTGCCTTGCGCGCGCGCGTGCGTGTTGCACGTGCGCTTACTGAGGGGGCCAACGGTCTTGGGTTCTTGGTTGGGTCGGTGTTGTCCTGTGTGTTTCTGTAATTGCGGGGCTGTATGGCTTGTCGAGCGCGGCGCCGGCGCATCACGACTGCGACGCAGAAGGCAGGCATTGTTTCGCTTTCCTTGAGGGCGTCGGTTGTCGCACGGTGCGCAGCGCCCCCCCACGCGTCGCTCCGCGGGACGTGTGGTGGTGTGCGTCACAGTCGTGATGCGGCTGGGCCCTTCACTGTAAAAGGGCACCTCCCCGTTGTAACGTACGTGTTGCCAACATGGGATACGCTGTTACGGTATGTCAAGAATTGCATGTTCCTCTCTCCGAGATGTCACGCCTGCGCGTACCCCTGGGGTGAGTGAAAACGTGGGTTTCACGCCCTAGGTTGTCTTGCCCTGCCCATCCAGACACAATGCACGAACGTGTTGACTTTGCAGCGATCCGTGTCCGACATATCCCTCTCGTCCCCCACTTCCCACGGTTGAGGCGTCCAGGGTACTGTAGGATCTTAGTGGGGGCAGCCATGGGTTCCATGCCGTTGTCCGGGCCATGCTATTCTTTGGTGGCATGGCGCTGTTCGATAATGATTGTGGGTTCCCTGCGCAGACTCGCGTAGCACTGGCATGTTCTGTTTGAAAATCGATGGACCATTTGCAGGGAACTGTACACGTCACCATGCAATTGCCTGTGATTGTGCGTCACAGTCGTGATGCGGGGGCTGCGGGACCTCCTGCATGTGACCCGGACTCCGGTACGATCGTCGTCACTTGTCGCCAGGATGCACTTGTCTTGCATCACAGTCGTGATGCGGTAGCGTCTGGGAGCGGTCAGGATACGTGCGCCCTATCTATCTCCGCGTTGCCGGTTGCGCGCCGCCGTGCTTGTCTGTTGTTTGCATCTTACTATGCGTTGCATTGCTTGGTTGATGTAGGCGTTCTGGCGATCCCTCACATTTACACTGGCGCCTCTTAAAGTTAGCCGGCTTTGTATGAGAGCTCGGGTGGACCTTGAACGGGGGGCAGGCGGAGCTGGAGCGACAACCCTACTGAACACCAACGACCTGCCTTGCAGAAGCGGCCATTAAGGAAAAAACCGGTCTTAAGTAACATTTCCTCGGCGCGCGCCTGCCCAGCACGAATACCCGACACAGCAATAGAAGGCGTGCAGCCAAACAATGGAAATGACATGCAATGAATGGATGCAATGAAGGCGGCTAGATACATTTACGATAGCCACCCCCACGTGGGAGTCCGCTGTTGTCGCCCCCGCGCAGCGCCTTGACCCCCCTCCGCCAGACCTTGAGGGTCATGCCTTGTTCCCCCCCGCGCTGCTCCAAGAGGCGCGGGCGGATTCGAGCTCTCGCAAAACTGTGTTCAGATTGTATCGGGCCGAAGTCCTGCGTCCGGCACTTTTGAAGTATGACCGAGCTGCTTTCGCAAAGGCGGCTCTGCAGGCTCTGGCACCTTTTACCAGTTCTTTTGCTGCTTTTTGTTCTTTCCCATCGCCGCTTGATCCAGCTATCCTGGCTAGTGAGCCGGGCCCTGCCTTCTGGCTGCATTATCGTTTATGGGCGGTGGCGCGAATGTCAGGCCGGTGGCCGCTGTCGGTTTTAGGCGGCAGGGAACACCCCGCTTCTTTGCGACGGTGCAGAGCGTGTGGGCGCAGGGACGTGTCTCTGCGACACGCGCTTGTGTCATGCCCTTTTTTCGCAACCGACCGACGGGAATTATTCCCTGGCGACGTCCCACCGGGCCTGATGCTCCAAATGTTGCTCGGGGGCCACACCAGCCCCAGTTACTACATCGCGCACATTTGCTTCGTCGGGAAGACAATTCGGCGTTCTGCACCGGTGTCTCCGTCGTATTCTTCCTCCTCCTCTTTTTCTCCGTCTTCCTCTTCGTTTTCTCCCCCTTCAGGCTACGTGCCCTTCCTCCTGCGGCCCCAAGTGCGCCGTAGCTGCTCTTGTACTCTACAACGCTACTGCGTTTATCAGTTTCCACTGCCGCCCGGCGCGGTGCCGCAGGGAGCAGCTCGCCTGGTGTCGCGCGTGATTTTTGCTGCTTGTAAATCCTGCGTCGCAGTCGTGATGCGCGGGTGCGCGCGCCCTGGTCTCACGGTATGACAGGTGCGTCACAGTCGTGATGCGCGGGCGGGTTGGTCATGATGCAGGCTGTGGCATGCTTGCGTCCAGCTCGCGTTGTACTTACTCCTCCTCTCTCTCCCCTCGCCCTCCTCCTCCTCCCCCTCCTCCCCTGGGAGTGCGCTTGGCTTGCATCGGTGCGCATGCCCCAGTGTGTGCCCGTCGCCTCCCCGGCCGCCGTGTCGCTTCACCGGGCTATCCCAGGGGGAGCGGCACAGTGGTTCTGGGCGAGGAGGGGGGTATGCACGCCTGCGGGCCTTGAGCTAGAAACGCGGCCCGACACCCTGGCGAACGTCGCTGCCCGGGCTCCCCGGGGAGAGTGGTGGTTGTTGGGCGGCGCTTTCCCGCCACTCACGCCTTGCGTAGCAGCAGGGGGGGGAAGGGGTGTGTGACACCTCTACCTGTCCCTCGTCGGCTGTCGGGCCCAGACCTGCTCTCGCCGGGCAGTTCTGAGTCGCAGCGACTGGGGGCCGGGCGCCGGCTCCGAGGGCCGGGCGCCGGTGCGCGCACCCCGGACGCTGTCAACTTGCGAAATGCGAAAATTGCAAAAAAAAAAAAAACGCATACGACGATCGGCAAGCCGCGCACCTCGGGTCGCTCGTGCCACGGGGCACTCCTGCGAGCAGGCGAATGCGATGATGAAGAAGAGGAAGCATACTACGAGTCACAGTAGTAGCAGTAATAAGAACAACCGTAATAACACTACTAATGATAAATAGGAGTACTAATATTAGCATTAGTGATATTATTAAGAAAATCAGGATACTATTCATAATCATAGCAGTAACAATAATACCAACGATTCTAGGAAGCACAAGACGACGACGAAGACCAAGACGAAGACGGCGTTGGCGACGTCGGCGACAACGCCTTGCGCGCCGGAGGTCCGCGAGGACCCCGACGCCTCACTGGGCAGCGCCTCGGGCGCGCGGCCCTCGTCGCCCGGCAGCGCCTCGGGCTCGCAGCCGGGCGGCGGGCCGCTGCAGGCTTCCAGGGCCCCCTTGCGAGGGCCGGGCGGGGCCACGGCAGGAGTGGTCGGGAGCCCTGGGGCGGGGGTCGGTGCCAAGCGGGGGTCAGCCAGAGCGCCCGATCTTGCAGGAGCCTGCAGGGCCAGGGTCGCATGGACCCGGGTTTGGGCGCAGGGTCCTGCAGGATCTTGCGGCAGCCTTCGCATGGACCCGGGTTTGGGTGCAGGATCCTGCAGAATCTTGCAGGGTCTGGCAAGGCTTGATCGACCCGGGTCAGGATTGACCCGGGTCAGACGATCCCCGAAGTGATCAGATTCCAATAGTCGTGGAGAGAGGGAGGGGTCGCAGCTTTCCGAGAGGGACAATTCTAGACCCCCCCCCGACCAGACATGAAATGGCGACCTTTTGCCCAGACACCCCTGGAGCCCCTCAAGACAGCTCCTGTGAGACCCACCAAGGCAGACCCCCCCTTTTGTTATGAAGTCCCGGGTAGGCCTTCCAGATGGGTCTCCGAGTACTGAGTAGAGGGGGTCGGAGGATGGCGCCGAATCGCCGATGCATCCGCGATGCGGCTCGATGTGCAGCTCGATTTTTTTTCCGCGCCGACGTCGCCGATATGTCGGCGATGCGGCGTGATCCTCCGATCCTGTCTACTCGGACCCCATTTGAGAAATTTCCAGATAAATCGTTCCAGAGCGTTCTGGAACTCTCTCAGAGCGTCCCGAAAGCCTCTGAAAAGGCCGAGGCGCCAGATGCATCCTCCAGAACCGCCAGGTCTCGGATTCCAGATCCAGTGGGAGGGGATACGGGGAGGGGTCAAGCTACACCCAGGGTGGAGGTAGAGGAGGAGAATGATTGCAGAGGAAGACAGGAGGAGGAGGAGGAGGAGGAGGAGCAGGAGGAGGAGGAGGAGGAGGAGGAGGAAGAGAATAATGATGGAAGGAGGAGGAGGAGGAGGATGAGGGGGAGGAGCCCCCCCGTCGACTCTCTCGCCGTCGTCGGTCGGCGGGGTGGCGGCCACAACGCCTGACTTCGCTCTTGATGTACGGTAGGTTCGTGTCGTGTCGACCGGCGGCGACCCCGCCAGCGGCGTTCAACCTTGAACGCCGCGGGCGACCCAGAATCGTTCGATGTGGAACGATTTCGACGTTTCGGAAACGGCCGATCGTTCAAGGTTGAACGATCCCCGCGGTGTCAGAAACCAACGCTGGGGTCGACACGACGCGAACCTGCCGTATCCGCCACCGTGACCCCTGGCACGTTGAGGCGTGGAAAAAATGCCAAGGTCCGTCCAGGGCCCTCCCCCTCCCCTTGTCGCGGGCCACTGCGTGGGTCACCCTTCCTCCCGAGGCCAGGTGCCCTTGTTAGAGACGGTGGCCTCGCCCTCCCGAGGCCACGATCGCTCGTGCAACAACAACGACTGATCCCGCCCCCCCCCCCCGAGCTTCTAAGACGGCCTGGGCAGGAGCCGAGTCCGCGAAGGAGGTCCAAGTACGCCTCGAATGCGACCCAGGATGGCCACAGGGCTACCGTGACTAGGTGTTTGAAGGTGTTTCGCAGTCTCTCCCTCGTGGTCGTCCGTCAGCTCCTAACGGCCCAGGAAGCCTCCAACATGGCCCAAAAACGGCCCAAGGGGCCCCCAAGAGGGTTCCAACGTGGCCCATGTGGACCCCGTGATGGCAAGAGGCCTCCGAGGCGGCCCCAAGAAGGCTTCCAGAGAAATCCAATACGGCCTTCCGTAGTCGGATGACGCGTAACGGGGGGGGCGAGAATTGTTTGGGCAGCGGGGGTTGCCGAAAAGGAGCCATTTAGGGCTCCTGCAGGGGCCCTTTAGGGCCTAGAAAAGGGGCCTTCGGGCCTCCAAAAGGTCACCTTTCTTCCCCGCCCCAGTATCGCCCCCTATAACTTCGCGCCCAGCTTAGAGAGCTTTTCGGCGAACCAACGCGGCGCCAAGACGGCCGGGCAGAACGACCCAAAGACGACGGCCGACGAACGCCTCAGCCCAGCCGAACATTCAGAAGGGGAATCAATTCAGAGACAACAGTTGACGCTTCGCGTGAGAAGGATGATGAGGAGGAGGAGGAGCAGGCGCAGGATAATAAGGAGGAGCAGGAGGAGGAGGATGAGGACGAGGAGGAGGAAGACGAGGACGAGAATGACGAGGAGTGAGGCGGAGGAGGATGAGGAGGTGAGGAGGAGGAGGAGGAGGAGGAGGAGGAGGAGGAGGAGGAGGAAAGGG